ACTCTTGCGTACAGACGCCAGCAGTTGCGGTATAGGTGCTGTTCTTCTGCAACACGATGACTCTTCATGAGTCGTTGCATACGCTAGTAGAGTGCTGACCACTGCCGAGAAGAACTATACGATCACTGAGTAGGAGTGCCTCAGGGTGGTTTGGTCAGTACAGAAGTTCCGTCCTTAGCTGTACGGCCATCAATTCTCTATCGTAACAGGCCACCATACCTTATGCTGCCTTTCTACATAGAAGAACCTGTCTGGGCGCCTGGGTCAGTGGATTTTACACCTAAAAGAGTATCAATTCGAAATTATTTATAAATCTTGCAAAAGACATCAAGACGCCCATGCTCTTTTGCGTCGCCCACAACCTACGGCACCGCCTGACACTCCCGCAACCGTTCCCAACAGCACCAGTTTAGACACGACTTCCAGTCTGGTTGCCTTGCTCGCCTCACTGTCCCAGCTGGCCGCCGCCGACGAACAACCGTTCAGCTCTCACCAGCTGGCTGACCCGTACTGTCGACACATTATTGACCACCTTTCTCGAGCTTGGCGTCCACCGAACGCATGGCTTCGTCATCAACTCTACCAATTTAAGCTGGAGGATAGTAGACTATATCGTCACATTTATCACTTTGACGGTCAACGCTAGGTACCTGTCTACCACGCATTCTTCGACATCATGTGCTTAACGCCTTTCATGACAATGCGATGGCTGGCCATCTCGGCTTTCACAAAACCTACGACCGCATTCGAAGCTGATTTTACTGGCCTGGCCTTTCTACCGGCGTAGCGCGGTGCATAGGTTCCTGCTCTCCATGCCAGCCAATTACAGTCAATGACGTGCCCCACAACACCATTTGAGGTCATAGGAGTTGATATTTATGAGCCTGAGCCTCTTCCCATCACTGGCGCTGGAAATCGATGGATAGTGACGGCCGCTGATCATTTGACGCGTTATGCCGAGACAACTTCTTTGGTTACTGGTTCCGCTGCGGAAGTTGTGAATTTCGTTCTTCGGGCCATAATTTTGCGTCATGGTGCTACTCGCATACTCCTAAGCAAACAAGGAAAAGCAGTTTTATCCCAACTGCTAAGTGAAGTTATGCGCACTTCCAGTACTACACACAAGACAGCGTCTAGCTACCATCCTCAAATGAACAGCCTGACCGAGAGATTTCACCGAAATCTTGCTGACATGATCGCTGTCTATATTCAACCAGACCACAAAACAGGGATAAATTTCTACCATTCCTTACGTTTGCCTACAATACCGCTGTTCAGCGCACAAAGGGCTACTCGCTGTTTTATCTCGTTTATGGACGTTCACCAACAGTCTTTATCGATGTTTCATTCTTCATTGAGAACAGCACTCTATCCGCGTCATCTTGCGAGGAATATATTTCTCGCAATTCCCAGTGTCGCCTGCATGCTCGTATGAACACAAAAGCCACACAACAACAAAGGAAGGCCGCTTATGACACTTGTCATCGGAGTGTCTCATTCCGACCGGGGGACGAGGTGCTACTCTTGACACCCATTCGCACACCAGGTCTGTGCGACAAGTTCCAACTTCAGTTCATCGGCCAGTACATAGTTTTGCTGCAGACTTATTTGGTAAACTATCGCGTGACACCACTTGTCGTGCCAACTGACCGCCGTTACCACGGCACCGAAGTTCTCCATGTCTCTCCCATGGAGCTCTTTGCGCTACATTTCTTGTCACCTTGACTTGCAGTAGCCGGGCTGGCCGCTTCCACATGGTGGGAATGAGTGTGAGCATAAATCACGCACTTCATCCTCATCAGAGGAGCAGTCAGTCATCATCGTCCCTTTTGGGCTCATAATCATCATTGCTTTTTGGGTGTGCGCTGCTTTACATCCTGGTGCTCGTTTGATAAAAGGAGTCGTCATACGCGGTTACAACAGAGTCGTCACAGTATTAACGATACGTCGGTGGCACAGCGTTCAGCTGAATTTGATATTATTATGGGTTTCTAGGGTTTCTAAACTAGCACATGCATTGAGAGTGTTCAATTGTGTGATGTGACATATGGGGTGTTATTGCGTATGTGTGGCAGGGTGAATATGATATTGCTTTAGCGCAGCTCGGTTTGAGCGTGAAGAACAGATGCTATACAGTCAAAAAGGGGAAATAACAGACGACAATGTGTTTAGCACTTACACTGTGGTTTGTTACTGTCATCTGTTTTCTCCCCAAACTTGCACATGTTTTGAAGCGCTGGCGTGGCTTTTGTCGTTCATAGAGATCCCCTAACTACAGAATTTGGCGCAGCTTGGTGCAATTTCTGTTGATATTATCAGGATGGCACAGCAAATCTGATTTGACACATTATGGCGCAGTTGGTGCAGGAGTGGAATCCCTGCATGTGCTAGTCAATACTTAAAGGGGCCCTGCCACACTTTTTGAGCATGGTCAGAAAATGCTGCCGATCGGTAATAGTAGTGGCTCCCGACAACATGCGAGCCAAATATTATAGCACAGCACGCGGCCTGGAATTCACAATAAATTACTAAAGTCAGCTAAAAATTGCTTTATCTTCTCTCGACAAATGGCGGAATATGCCCGAAAATCACATGTGAATTACCCATCTATGAGCCATTGGCTGATTTGAACATGGCGCGCTCGCTCGTTACAGAGATCGCCGTGGGAGGCCTCAACTTGTCCACGCATGCGCGCCAGATCACACCAAAAAAGCAGCTAATTCAAACAAAAAAAAGAAAAAAGAAGTGCTCAAGGCCAAGAGGCACGTCTGACCTTTTTCTGTGGCCCTGCCATCTCTCCCTGCTTAGCTTCCAACGCTTTCATCGGGACGAGAGAAGAGAGAATGCAATTGCAGCATGTGACAAACTTTTGTAACTCTACTCGCACTGGACGGATTCTTATCATTTTTGCGGCGTTGAATTCGTGAGGCAATAAGCTTTTCCAGTGAATTCATTCCGTGGTTACTTGAAAAAGCGTTTCAGGGCCCCTTTAAAGCTCCTATTCCATAGCTACCAGCCTTGAACCTAATAAAATAGTGTGCTCGATATTACTTTGACATTATTTAGAAAACACTTGTTCACACGTAAAACTTCTTCACAATTTTCTGAAGCTGTAGCAGCTCTTAGTTAGTGTCCCCAAGCCTAGTCATGCTCTTAGCAAACCAAGAATTTGCCTCAATCAGAATCACTCCATGAGTTTATATGTCCTCCATGTCATCCATGACTGACCAAACAATACTGAAGAAGACAACAGTGTACACGAGACCCAAACAAAGAGAACAGCTCTTGTGTTACTTTTGTAGACAGAAAGGTATGTGTGGTTCCCACAAAGAAAGAAAAAGAAAAGTCACAGTTTCACTCGAATAGTGAAGCAATGATAGCAACATCAATGAATCAGAGAAATGGTTAAAGGTTCATTATTTTTAGGACTACCAACTGTGGTGGCTTTGCTGCTAAGGTGTAGGGCTTCTAAAATTTAGGACATGGGTTCAATTCTTGTAATTTCAGCCGCATTTTGACACGGGCAAAAAGCAAGAACACTATTCATAAGGTGCACGTTAAATCGGATGCAGAATGAGGAACATCATATGGTAAAAAATTTCATAATTAAAAATGAACATTGTGTTCTATAAAGCGACAGACAGCAGCAGAGAAGCCCCAAGAATACTTTTTAAGCTTCAGTGGCGTCAAACACAAAAAACCACTTGGAAATCTGTGATGTCCCACAGAGGCACCTGCGCTGGGGTTTTAGCACGAAATTTTTGAAATGCTATGAAATGTTTGTTGTAATTCTTCTTTCAAAATATTTTTTTCGAATAATAATTTGCTTCTTCCTATGGTATGAATAAAATTTAGTTACTGAAAATACGGTCGTTTTTAAGTGCTTTGGCTAAATGGATCAATATGTTGCTTCATCTTGATTTAGTTGTTCGAATAAGTTGTGACTTGCATAAAATTCCTCTTCAACAAAGCTGCATGAGCGATCAAAGGCACGGTTTCTGTGACATAACAACCTATTCACAACTGAAAATATATGAGTACAATAGAGCTCCCAAAGGGCCAGTCAACAGGCTCCGACTTTTTTTTTTTTACACCCCCCAAACAAACTCAGTAATACGTAAAGTAGACCGCAGCGATCCCGTTTTCTGAATATTACAGCGCCGTGCATCGCGCACAGCCTCCATTTCGAAAAACAATTCCCGCGCTCCTTTCCTACGCTTTACCAATCTCTTTGCACGTGCAGTGATGACAACTCGGCGATCGGCGACGTGACGCAGCACGCAGCTCATCAATTGGTCTAAACCAGGTCTCAACAAACAGTAGTGAAGTAAACCACAGTCCCTGTTCCCACCCACAGCTACGGCAGAGCTATTCAATCATAAGAGTTGTGAAACTCCCCATAGGCTCCATGCATCGAAATTGGGCTACTTCACTGACCCAGTCTTTGGGAGTAAGCAAATAGTCGTGCCACTTGTTGATAGGCACACCCACTATTAAAAGCCTTATTTGTGTTTTGTGTTGCTGCTCCCAAAAAAGTGAACTCTATAAAAATCGGGCCAACTTTCTGTCCAGGTTTTGGAACGCACTTTTGCTGCAAATCATTGTCGGCTGCAAATCGAGTGACTGGGTTGTGGAGAAGCATCGGCACCGGGTAAACGGAAAACAACCAGGCATCACAGCAAGTGGAAGAGCATTGCGACTGATCGAGTTCGCCGATGACGTAAATCGCTGACGTCTTGTCACATTGCCGAAGTGGGCAGAGTCGCGACGATAGGCCACGCCTTCCCCTTCCTCTGAAGGAGAAGGGTGGCGAGACCGTGCCTTAGAAATTTGAAACGAGCTGAACGCAATGTTTTAGCCCTTGTAACTTCCTTAATATAGCACGCATTCCCAAAATTCTTGCGGCACCATGTTCACAAAGTAAATGTGCACGTATTTCTCTTTACAACATTTTTTTGGACCTTGGGGTTGTTTACTGGCCCTTTAAATAAAACTCTTACCAGTAGGACATTTTGTTGAAGTGTTCGGTGAACTTTGTCAGGTTTGGACTTGAATCTTCATTTTGCTCTTTCGCCCAAATGAGAATCTCGGAGATCTAAAGAATAATGAAAGATTATTTGGTATGAATTGTTTAGTTCACAGTGCAGAAACTTATCAGTGTCAGTAAAAGATTGGTCACTGAACTGTCTTCTCACATGTGCAAGTGAATTTTAGAGTACTTATGAATGATTTCGCACCAACGACTTGATTACTGCAGTAGCAAGACAGGCAGTTCAATATAAAACATGCATGGAAACTGAAGGCAACATATCTACTCACATAATGAATGCACTCTTTGAACTGCGTACCGCTACTTGCTTTCACAGATGTAAAGCAAGTAAGGGTGTGCTTTTAATCTAGGCTGATGATGATGCATTTGCATAATGAATGAACCCTTGAACAGGCCACATATTTTTTTCTTCCAGCATAATAACCACACAGAAATGCAAGCAGTGGTGTCATTTCCATCATAACTCATGATACTGATGGCTGGCGGAGAATGCACATATAGCTTCATGTTTACTTTGGAAGTTTGATTAGGCTGTATATCCCGTTGACACAAGCATTGAGTGAATGGGCTGCTGTCTTGTATCTGTTCAATTCAAATGGGTGGTGTGTAAGCAATACTGCCAGCTTCAAGCTCAAACCTGTTAAGTAAACTTTGCAGAACAGCAACCACAAATCAGGAAGATATTTTAGTATCAATGAAGCATCTGCTAGGGGAGCTGGCAGCATGAAAAGTTGAACGTTTTCAGCTTGAAGAATGTTCAATGTTTTATGTTCAACTACGGATATAATGGCCCTCTGATAAAATATAGCAAGGCACTCTTAGTAAACCACAATATTGACAACCCTGTTTCTCAGCGGCAAAAAGCAAAAGTGACGCAATAGCAACTGCAACAGAAGAAATAGTTTGCAAGCTCATGCTGAGATGAGTAACACACAAGCATGAAATAAATGCAGAGGGTGTGGCGCAGGGAATGGTAAATGAAACATCCACCAAAAATAAATAAATGCCCTAGGCTTGAGATGAGGTGATAGGTAGTGTTCTTCACACATTGCCTGCAATCTGTTAGACAAGGCAATAAAAGCCAGCTGTAAGATGCACTAGTGGCACAAGGATAAAAGTACAGTGGAACTGATCGGTTCCTACACTCGGCGACAATGTTTCTTGACAGCACGATACCCATAACATACCCATAACATGACACTAAACAATCAAAACGTTTCTCTCAATCACATTTTTGTGCATAATTTTCTAAATGCATTAACATTGCAAACGAGCAATATCAAAATCAGTCACAAGCTACTGCACTAATTGCGGAGCAACAGAAATGTACGGGATCCCCGTCTCCGTAGCCTTCATTCCAATGTCAAGATGAGTTGTTGCCAAGTGATGGCCAAGTTCCAGATAAGTCCAGCAGTTTCGCTTTGGCAGCACGCTGCGATTCCCGGTAAGCGGCTTCTTCCTTGGCGGTGCGAACCTTATTATGTTTCCCCATGTAAGCGTCTGGCATTGCATGCTGCAGCCATACACTGGCTTTACACAGTACGAAGGAGTGCAAGTACAATTGGCCGTGACCTCACTACTGGCACAATTGACAGGTTGCACGCAGAGTCCAGGCAGGCAGGCAGGCAGGCAGGCTGGCAACGGAGCAGTGTATATATAGGCTAGTGAAGCAGTTGCACAGCTGTGCAACCACTTGCTAGGCAACGTACGCTGGTGTCATCGCGGCACAGAGTTTTTTTTTTTTGTTCGCGTTGGATACGTTACGGCCAGTTTAAACAGCTCTGCTGTTAAACTATAAATTTTTTACACATGCAAGAGTGGTGCTAAACCAATAATAAATGTTGTGCCTTATTCACAACATTGCTTACCACACCAGCTGCATGCTCTCCTAATTATCACTATCATGTATTGCTGTGAATGATAACTCAAAACAGAGTCAAATATCTGACAGCTTCGATAATGTCAAGGAAGCTGTGGTATAACAAAAACCCACAGTGTGAAAGATATGAATAACAACAACATTCCTAACTTTCACGGCAAGACTCTGATGACATAAACCTTTTAAAGGCCAAAAGTTCTACAGGCATTACAATATGTGCTTTTGACATTAAACCAGTGAGGAGTGCATCCTTACATCAATACGCTGGAAGAGATGAGCATCAAGCAGGGTCATCTGCTCGGCTAGGAGCTCTGATTTGAACTGGAGCAAGGTGGCCGGCTGGGTGGTGACACGCAAGTTGGCAAGGCTACCGGCACTACCAGAAGGGGCTCCTCCCGCCCCTGTAGAGCTCCAGGGGCCCCCATTGTGCAGTTGTGCGTGCGCTTCCCACTTCTCTACCACCTTGGCCCGCAGAGCCCTTGCCAGGCTCAGGTCTCCTCGGCCCACAAGTTGGTGCGAGAATGCTGTCAGACAGCGCACCATCTCTGGGCCCGCGTCACTCAGCCTACACACAGCAACAAAAAGAAAACCACCCAAAAAGAAGGTTCACTTATATTTTAGACATGAAGACATAAAAACGAGCTGTGGTAAATTGACATAAAGTACAAAAAAATAGCATAGAACAAATTTTACGAATATTAGGCCAGTACTTCATTGAAAACAAGTGAGACATGTATGCCCATAGACTCATGAGAGCGTTTTGAAAAAGTGCGAAAACATTGTCGCACTGACTCATGAAGGCACCATCTTGCAACTGCATAGAGTGGTATTTGGAATGAAACGGCCAAAGTAGGTGGCACAGAGCAGCACTCCTCAAGTTGTGCAGAGCAAAGTTGTGTGGACCTCACTTCCAGCTGTAGAACAACTGCACCTGCACCTTTTGTGAGTCTTCATAGCCCTGTGGCCTGTTCCTGTAAAGCAAGTCTTCTTGAATGCATCAACCATTTTTTTTTTGTACATTTGCCTGTCCGTTCTTTCACTGTGGAAATTATTTAGTAGTGTGTTGCCCCTAAATATGTGCCCATCTTTCGAGAGGTAGGGGACAGTTGGGAGCATTGAGACCTTTTTCACAATTGTATTTTTAGTTTTTTTGGACTTGAATGCAGAACAATGTTGGCATATTATAAAACAGGCCTAAACAAGTTGCAAAACTTCTGAGATGCACTGGTTTGTACGGTTTCTGGTGCAGCTTTATAAAAAAAAAAGTTTGTGATTGCCAAAATTTGTCCCATCATTCCACCTGCCTCTGTGGGTGGAGTGGGACATCGTTTGTGAGGATTGGGACGTCTGTAACACAATGGTCCAAATGTCTTCAGCGACAATTATAAGCAGATGGATCAACATCAAACAACAAACAGGGCTGCACAAACTTCACTGCACCCTATTTAACACTGGCAGGTTCATTCTATATTTTTGTAAAGTCGCCACATCTTTCTTAGAAGAAAAGCAGAACTGCAAGCTCTCCCCCCCCCCCCCCCCCAACAGGAACTGCGCAATGATTTCCTCACTAAAAATGACAAGAAAAATATCACCATTATTCACTTGAATACTTTAATTAGGCTAACTGATCTTACATATGCCATGCCAGCCATTATCCAAACCTGATGTCATTGTCAGGCTCGTCAAAAAGGCAATGGCAAATTCGTTTTCTTCACTTCAAGAACAGGAATCCTTCAGCAAACACCATTTCATTGTTGGATTGTTGGATCGGCTGTGGCAGCAGTCTTGACTGTACTGCACTGCTATTTGAGGACTGTTGTGCTAACCCCAGATATCTTGTTTAATCATACACTTTCCCATTGTACATGTAAAGTCTTTTGTCTTACCTTTTTTTTTTTTTTCGCTGTGTAATGCGGTGTGGCAGTAGGATAGAGAGAAATAGGACAGCGTCATGTTCCTCCCTCAACTCAACAGTCCCACTCCTCCCAAACTACATTTGCCAAAGTAAACAACATTCAGCGGATAAAGTTCAATCATAATGCCTAAACTTTATCTCTGAAAAAGTAAAGCGCTGATGCTTGCTTTCCAGAAAAAATTTATATCAGCATCCACAAAGAGGTTGAAATCACAGAGCATTACAAGTGAGATAGCAGAAACTTAATTTTAACACGTGAAAAAGGAGACTTCCAGTAACAGAAAGCTCTATTCGCCAAAGACGCCCGCCATTACTTCCATGCAATAGGTCTCTTAGCACCATCTCATGTGTCATCAGCTAACGTCTTTGAAGTAACTGTAGATGAGATAGCCGCGTTGTCCCTTTCCTCCAATTGACGCAAACCTCCCGACTCTACACTATATGACATAAAAAAAAAATTTCCAATCCCATGCACAATTATGCTGAGAGATGAACGGGCAATTTTACTGGTCATTGGGTTTCGGTCAAATTATTGTGCAAATTTACAAAAACACATGATGACTGGAAGTCAAGATCAACTCTGAAAAACCATGAGTAAAAAAAATTATCCAGCATTTTGACTGGTGGGCTCTTTCTATCTGAAGAGGAGGGAAATTCAAAAGTTATCATAAAGAAAAGTTTATCGAAATTTAACGCCACTGTAACACTACTTTCACTCTTAGAAAGTGTGGTAAAAGATTTCTCCTCGAGATTATGAAGACTAAGGAGCAACTTAACGTTGCGCTAAAAATCTGATGGGTGATGTGAGGAAAGATTTTTTCTGCAGATGGGAAAGTGGAACATGTGTGTCCACTGACACACGAAGGGTTAAAAGGAAGATAGATATTTTTTTTTAATGGCTAAGCTGGACTAGACACACTTCACACCTCAAGTTATCTGACCGGGGGATAGCTTAGTGTTCAATAAACCATAGTGTAAAAAAGAGGAAGTCTTGGACAACAAGCACAAATTATACCTCATGCCTTTGCACATCATTATTATATATTGTATAGTAGTTGCACACTGCATAAAACAATGACTGATATGGGGGGTTTAATGTCCCAAAACCACCATATGATTATGAGAGATGCAGTAGTAGAGGGATGATTTGATTGATATGTGGGGTTTAACGTCCCAAAACCACCATATGATTATGAGAGACGCCGTAGTAGAGGGCTCCGAAAATTTTGACAACCTGGGGTTCTCTAACATGCACCCAAATCTGAGCGCAAGGGCCTACAATATTTCCGCCTCTATCGGAAATGCAGCCGCCGCAACCGGGATTCGATCCCACGACGTGCGGGTCAGCAGCCGAGTACCTTAGCCACTAGACCACTGCGGCGGGGCCGGCACAAAACAAACAGCAGCATTAGTGGCACAGGCAGAAATTTATTTCCGTGGGCACACGCCCTTGATCCAAAGCAGGTGCTGCACAGGCGAGTGCGCTAAAGTGTTAATTTGTGCTCTGTATCCTATAGCAGAAAAAACATTTCTGGAGGGTGCACGTGCCCGGTGTGCCACCTCTTGGCTACCCAAATGAGTAGCGTATCCACTAAAGAAAGAAGATCAGGATAAGATAGAAGCGGGAAATGATCGGAAGTCATTCAACAAGGAATATTGCTGAAGCCAATCCTACGAGAAAATGCCTTCACCAGGCCGTAAGGTGCCAGAGGAAGTTGCGGCCCTGACAAAGACCCTTTATCAAAACAGTGACACAGTACCATTCCTTGTTGACCGATCCATTTGGGGGTGGGAGGGGAACTGTGCTAATGCAATAATGGAGAAAGAAACATTATATGAGGATGGGTGCTGTCTTTGTGCGATGCTTCTCTGCCTCTGTTAAAATTAGAGCTGTTTTTTCAGATGGATCTGTACCAATGAGCTCGCAACCAATTACTTCCAAGTCATCTTGTTGAATGACTTATCACATAATGTAGCAAAAAATCAGAATCTGCATTTCTCGCTATGACCACAGATCAGTGTAACACTTCCATCACAACGTGACACTCATATTCACTAATACCACCATATTACTGCAAACATCTTTCCTTGAAGGGACACTAAAAAGACACAATGACTTGGTTTAGATTGGCAAACTGCACACTGAGAACTCTAATGCCATGCATTTCACGATCATAAGGTAATTATCAAAGGAGAAAATCAAGATTAAATTTTTATTTTTAAATTTCGCACCAAAATCTCCAAGCGTAACATCAAAAATTTAAACAATGTTTTTTTTAGTATTTTTGTGACTGGCTTGATGAAACTCCGTATGCTAGATCTATGACACACATAGATGACAATGTACTTGAATTTTATCAATTAGAAGCTAAGTAAGACTCAGTATAAGCCTTCAAAATTTATGACATCATGGTGTTTGTTGCGAGAATTTCACAGTGACATCTCCACCCGCATTTACTTTTGCACATTTTCTCGTTTACCAAGCCTTGTATCACGGTAAGAATGGTGTTTTCGGGATTGTGAAATTGTACTATACTACTGGCAAAAAATCACTGCTCTCGTCGACACCGGTGCCGATTATTCGGTTATGAGCAGCGCCCTAGCATCCCAACTGAGGAAGGTAACTACCCCTTGGCAAGGACCACGGTTGCGCACGGCAGGGGGCTACCTTGTCACGCCGACTGGAATGTGCACAGCCCGTGTTCGAGTCCGTGCTTCGACGTTCATAGGGTCTTTCCTCGTATTACCTGTGTGCTCCCGTCCACTCATTCTGGGGCTGGACTTTCTTCGCGAACACGGCGCAATTATTGACCTACGAGACTTGCAGGTGTCGTTCGAGGACCCGTTTCATCCTGAACCGGAAAACGCCCGCTCATCGAAGGCTGCCCTACGTGTATCCTCCGAATCTGTAACTCTGCCTCCTCGCAGCAGCCTTTTTATCAACGTTGAATGTGACCAAGACGTCCCCGAAGCTGGAATTGCAGAAGGAAATTTGTCCCTACTTTTTGCACAACAAATCTGTGTTTCCCGAGGTATTGTTCAGCCCAGTAGAAAGCAGGCTTGCCTATTAGTCACGAATTTCAGCGAGGAGTATCGCCATCTTACCAAACACACTGCGATCGCATACCTTGAGGATATTGCCGACGTCCCTGGTCCCTCAACATTATCTGCTCTTTCGTTGTGCGACGATTCCGCCCTGACATTTGCAAGCACTCTCAACGTAAACCAGGGTCTACCGTCTGCACAACGGGAACGTCTTTTGAAGCTACTCGGCTCATTTCGGGACTGCTTCGCTACGACTTCGAAAGTTAACCAAACACCGCTTGCCAAGCATCGTATCATCACCGAGCCTACCGAGAGACCCATTCGACAGCATGCCTACAGAGTCTCGCAAAAAGAACAAGACGTTATACGCCAACAGGTCCAGCAGATGCTCAAGGACGATGTCATCCAGCCATCGACCAGTCCCTGGGCGTCCCCTGTTGTGTTAGTAAAGAAAAAAGATGGTACTCTGCGATTTTGCGTCGACTACCGAAAGTTAAATAAGATCACGAAGAAAGACGTGTATCCTTTACCACGAATAGACGACTCGCTGGACCGCATTCGCAATGCTCGTTACTTTTCTTGCATGGATCTACGCAGCGGCTATTGGCAAATATCTGTCGATGAGCGCGACCGCGAAAAGACCGCCTTCATTACTCCTGGCGGACTCTACGAGTTCAAGGTCCTTCCATTCGGCTTATGCTCGGCACCAGCTACTTTTCAAAGAATGATGGACACGGTTCTTTCTGGGCTAAAATGGCAGTCGTGTCTTGTCTACCTTGACGATGTGGTCGTCTTCTCGGACACATTTGAGCAGCACGTCCAGCGCTTACAGGCAGTTCTTCAGGCGATTCGAACAGCTGGACTTTCTCTCAAACCTGAGAAATGCCACTTTGCATTCGAGGAACTGAAATTTCTTGGTCACGTCGTCAGCCACGCCGGTATACATCCAGACCCTGAGAAAACGAAAGCTGTTGCCGCATGTCCTGTCCCAACAAACTAGCGCGACCTCCGCCGATTTCTGGGACTCTGCGCATATTACAGACGCTTCGTCAAAGGCTTTTCTAAAATCGCTGAACCACTAAATGAACTTACGAAAGACGGCGTAACATTTGTTTGGGGTCATGATCAGCATCACGCCTTTGACACGCTACGAAACCATCTCCAAGCCCCACCTGTACTCGGTCACTTTGACGATAACGCTGCCACAGAGCTACACACGGATGCCAGCAATGTCGGACTTGGAGCTGTACTGGTTCAATGGCAAAATGGCGTAGAACGCGTGATCGCCTATGCAAGTCGAACACTATCATCTGCAGAGAAAAACTACTCTGCAACAGAAAAGGAATGCTTAGCCGTTGTTTGGGCTATAACAAAGTTTCGCCCTTATTTATACGGTCGACCATTCAGGGTAGTTAGCGACCACCATTCTTTATGCTGGCTCGCCAACATCAAAGGGTCTAGCACGCCAGCGTGCTAGACCCTTCCGGTCGTCTAGCACGCTGGAGCCTTCGGCTGCGAGAATTTGACGTTACAGTCATTCACAGTCAGGACGCAAACACACTGATGCTGACTGTCTTTCACGTGCACCAATTGGAAGTACGAACGCGGACGTTGAAGAGGACGATACATTCCTTTCCTCTGTGTCAGCAACCGACTTGGCTCAACAACAACGCGACGACATGGAGCTAAGCCCGCTGATTGACTACCTCGAAGGCCGAAAATGCAGCCTTCCTCGAAACTTCGCACGTTCGCTAGCCTCGTTCTGCATCAGGGATGGAGTCCTCTATAAGAAAAATTTCGACCATACCCAGGCTACTTACCTACTGGTTGCGCCGACCTCGCTTCGGGACGATATTTTAGATGCTTGTCACGACGAGCCATCATCCGGACACCTTGGCTACACGCGCACATTGGAAAGAATTCGCCGCTCATACTACTGGCCCCGCCTCGCGAAGACAGTCAAGCAGTACGTCCGCACATGCCGCGACTGTCAACGCTGTAAGACTCCACCTGTCCGACCAGCAGGACTACTACAGCCTATCGCCACGCCGAAGACACCATTCCATCAAATTGGCATTGACTTGCTCGGCTCATTTCCCACCTCTTCGTCTGGAAACCGGTGGATTGTGGTTGCCACCGATTATTTAACGCGTTACAGTGAAACAAAGGCCCTGCCCAAAGCTACCGCAGCCGAAATCGCACAGTTCTTTGTCACCAGCATCGTACTTCGTCACGGAGCGCCAACTGTAATAATTACTGATCGTGGTACAGCTTTCACCGCAGAGATGCTTCAAGAAGTGCTGAGACTAAGTGGTACAGAACATCGGAAAACCACGGGTTATCACCCCCAAACAAATGGACTCACTGAACGGTTGAACAAGACCATTGCAGATATGCTATCAATGTATGTGGCCGTTGATCACAAGAACTGGGATGATATACTCCCTTACGTAACTTTTGCTTACAATACAGCAGTCCAAGAGAGTACAGGTTTCACCCCATTTCGCTTAGTTCATGGTCGAGAGGTGACTACAATGCTCGACGTAATGCTCCTTCCCAACAACTTGAGCATGTTCAACACGGACGCTGCATTGTTCGCTCAACGCGCCGAGGAGACCCGTCAACTCGCCCGATGCCGTATTCAGGCTCGCCAAACTGCCGACGGACACCGCTACAACCTTACACACCGAGAGGTTACTTTCAAACCAGGCGATGAAGTTTGGGTGTGGACTCCCATCCGACAGCGTGGTCACTCTGAGAAGTTGCTTCGGCGCTACTTCGGCCCTTACAAAGTTCTGCGCCGACTCAGTGACGTTACGTATGAAGTTCTCCCTGAGGGCGCCTCAAGACGTTCCCGTCGGTTTCCACAAAGTGATGTGGTGCACGTGTCAAGACTCAAGCCATATTTCTCGCGTCATATATCGAACGTGGACTAACTTACCAAGCAATGACTATTTTTTGTCACTTTGGTTTTTTTTATTGTCTTGTGTACTTACCCCTTTCTTTATTGAGTACTTCTATGACGCTAGCCTATTTTTTTCCCCTTACGACGGAGTTGTTGGGTTCCATGGTAGCATATTTTCTTTCTCATTTTTTTTCTCAACGCTCATTATCAGCATCGAGCCGATGCTTTTCGAGGAGAGGGAGTAATGTCACAGGTAATGGGTATGAGCCATCAACTGTAGGTGGAATCCTTGGGAAGTGAAGAAAGAAGAGGGCTTTTGCGTCCTGGTCTGAGGCAAGCAAGACATCGTTTCGTCGCTGTCTGTAATTACGTTCGTGGCAATACATATATATATATATATATATATATATATATACACACATAAATTTTCATATATATTTTTACAAAAAAAGAAAAGAACAAAGAGATAAGTGTAATTCTACATTGCAATAAATATGTGCTACATCATGCTATGCTATATATACAGGCCTGTCCCAGCCGTTATGGTCATGAATATTGATAGTGATACGGCAAAGCTGATTATGTTCCCTGGATGCACTGAACACACACACAAACACACTTTTTGCCCAGTAGTGGTGCAAAACAAGCAAGCCACTTTTTCTATCACATAAGTAGGGCCCTCACTTCAACTCATCGTTAGGGCCTTTCCAAATGCTCATCATTTAAAAGACTCACAATCAGGAGCTATTTTGTCATAGGTACCTACCCAAGGTCATCTACAACCCGAACGAGGAGTGAGAAGGCCCACCGAGCATATTTTTGCCGTGTGTCTGAGAACTGGATGAACTTGTTGTAGCGGTAGATGAGCTTGTTCACTAGATCAGTAGGACTCACAAATGTCTTGTAGGTTGTTAAGAAGGCTTCCTGATAGAAGTACTCTTTTTCTAGAAGGAGGAATAAGCAAATTATATATAAATATATATATACACACACACACACACACACACACGAACACACACAAGAATAATTAATTTTCGGTACTTAACAATCAGGTAGGACATAAGAAGCAAGATAACTTCATAGGGTGACTGCAAACAACAAAGCATTAATTTTTTTCTCACATAAGACAGTGAAGCTAAGACCAGTTGGGACAACTTGAATATGCAGATTCATAGTAGATTGATTTAGCAAAAACTGCTGCATGATAAATTTGCAAATTTTCCCTGTTCTACTAAACACCATCCATCAATTTCCGTAACACTCAAGATAATTTTTTTTCTGCAATCACCATGAAAAATTATTAAAAAACGTGTTGTGAATAAGATGTGTTTACTAGCCAGGGGTTTTGTGAATAAAAAAAGAAAGACAAACATTACCAGACAGTAACTTGATCTCTGCATCTAATTTTGCATGCACATGTCATCGAATAACCACTAAAAGCGTGAACAATAAATAAAGTATGACACGAAACAAGCCACTCTACCACTTCGCCGTTTGTCATGCGAGTATGAAGGCTATGCTAGGCATGTTTCATTCGTGTTCACAGTCTAGTGGGCATGTTCCCTAAACATGTAAACAGCCTGTTCAAGGAAATTAGTTTTAGCCACCCCATCTTCACCAAGCTACGCCATTGACCTTTGTCGCATTTTAGATATTCGTCCAGTCAATTTAGTCAAAACTTCAAATACAGTATAGACCGCTTATAACCTAAATTGTGGAAGTTGCAGATATTTGCACTATAAGTGGTACTGCCCTATAACCAAAACAACTTTTTTCAAAAGCCGCATTTGCACAAAACATCTTTAGCATGCAGCCTTACGTGTCCGAGAATCAAAGCATGCCATTAAATGCTTACAAACGTATAGATTTCCAAATGTTAAGAAATATTGATATTCAATGTTACGCATTGCTAACGAAATGAACACGAAAAAGGAAGGGGGGGGGGGTAACAAAAGAAAACACTATCGCGGAAACTCGCTGACTACTTCTCGGGCTACCTCAATTGTGCACATTACGCAGAAACTATGTCGAATTACGTCCGGGATTTCACGCGCTGAAAGGCCCCAATCATTCGATATCACGAGTATTGACTAGATCGCATTCGAATCGCAAACCACCATTCGAGTGCCACACAGGCCACCCTCAGTTTTAATTTACGATATGTACTTTTCTTGTAAAGTGCAGCCAGCACAAAGAGTTTCGTTGATTCCATACCAAATGGCAACTTATAAATAGCATGCGACCGCTACTAAAACTAATGCAACGCTGATTAGGCCTAGCCTGCGTTTGGTAAGTTGTCGTGAGAAGTTTGTTTCAGAGATCAAGATTCGGCGTCGAAAAGGTCGCACTCAAGCACTGAACCAAGAACAGTGTGCGTGACACGTAGTTCGCATTCGCAGCCGGGAGATCAACAACGATGAAAACCCACCAAGCTTACGTGGGACCGCACACTGGCAGCAAAGGCAAAAGCTTGCGTAATAAAACTGTAAAAGTTCTTAAGGGAACAGGGTAAGCACTATACTCGCGATGTATTTTAGGCGAAGTTTACGTATTTTTTTCCTATCATTATTTTACTATCATTGTAATCATGAACCATTGCTTTTCTTATTGAAGCAGATTTAGCATTGAAAATTGTAATGCTAGTTTTTTTTTTCCTTCAGCTACCTTTTTTCCTTCAGCTACCTAATTATCACTTGATAATAGCTATTAGCCGTCATGTTATAGAAGAGCACTTCTTCACACAACAATAATTCTGCTTCAGTGTATTCCTTATTACGTTATCTAAATACTGGCCAAAGTCTATGATTCTAGATACAGTGGTTCCCGAGATGCAGTAATTCCTGAAAGCACAAAAAAGCATGTTTTGAGACAATCGCATTTAAAGCTGAAAATATGCATTATTTCCAAATTACGACAAAATAACATCGAATTGATAGACCTGTTCAATGGCCACTAGCCAGATACTTATCACCAATATAATTTTTTTCTTTTTGTGTTGAAACGTCTTGCCTGACGAGCCTCATTTGTTGCCTGCTATGCAGCCATATCAGCACAGTAGCGTCGACGCAGTTCAAGGGTGCGTAGGCCCTGCACTCTGCAGTGCCCTGGCAAAATGTCCAAATAGTTTAGCACATTCACACTGGCTATATTGCCATCATTCAAAGTGATCAAAGCATAAATAGTGCATACTTAATGTGTTTGGGGCCCGAGGAAAAGTTTTTTTTTAGCGCACTCCCACGCGACAATCCAACGACTCGTTACAGTTTTGAGTTTTCCCATGGAGGCATTAAGCGAAAATTTCTCTATGCGTTAGTTCCAGATAGTTTGGCTGAAGAGCCTGAATAACAATGCTGGAAGGTGTTCTTTATGAACGAATAATTCACCATTCAACTGGGCTTTGCTGAAATTACGCCAATTTTCGGTGCCTTTCATGCAAAGGTCGTAATATTGATTGGTATCCTTTGATGCCATGTGAAAATATGTGGACCGAACAGCGTTTTGCATGTCCTCCAAGCTGGCAATACTTTTTTAATTGCCCGACGATAATACTTTCGGCACTTGCCAATGATTACACCAGTAAGATGTCCCTTACCAAATATAGATTTCCTGACATAAACACATAAACCTTGATGCCTCAGATTCTTTTGTTATTGCAGTTCTGAGCCCATTATTTTCTTAATGTGCCAAATGCACTCCAGCTTGCAAACTGTAACCTCTACATATGGCTATAATGCTTCGACTGCAAGGAATTCCTTGCTACATAAGAATGGGGGCATGGTAGGCCATTGCACAAGTTCTGAAATATGGCAATTTTAGAGAAACAAATCGTACTAAGACAAACAAACATCCGATTCTGGTGCAAAAAAGGCTGCAGATTTCAAATAATGCAAAAAAAAAAAAAAAAGATTTCTTTTCCTTCTTTCTGCTTACCCTGTCCCCTTGAGTTAAAGAACGCGATATCTGTAGTAAGCTCGATAACGACGGCGTCTTTGAGAGAAAGAGAGGTTCATGAAAGAGGAAGAGATAAAAAGGACGCTATTTTATGCCTTCCAGTACGGGGGCACGGCTCAGCGCCTTTACGAATGGGGGGGGGGGGAGAGGAAATAAAGATGATGGGAAGAAGAGAGGAGAGAAAGAAAAAGTGAAACACATATGGCAAGAGAATGTCTTATCAGTGCAGCCAGTCAATAAAATGAAGCGAAAGCGGTCGTCTATGAGGCAACGAGCATCGCTGAGAAAAAACTGTTAAGTGCAGTTACGCAGCTACGGTGTACGCATCGCTAGCATGGCTCCGGCCGTGCGCGGCTCAACAGGGAACGTGCGATCACATCCTTATGAACTGTTAAGCGCAGTTGATAAAGACTTGATCGCACATGCCCTGTTGAACCGCGCGTGGCCAGAGCCACGCTGGCGACTAGGCTTGTGCGAATAGTGATTTTGGTCGAATAATTCCGAATTGAATTCGAAGAGAATATGTAACATATAAAGAGAAATGGGCATATTTATCATGACCTAACTAATCTGCACAATATTGTTTTTTTTAACTACGCCTCTATGCATGAGCTTTCTTTATTATTTTTCCATTCAAAGGAAATCGAAACAACTTTGAGAAGTAGCAGGATTTGACTTCCGGTAGGACGTAAGTGATAACCTGTAAAATACGTAACATTATTCATTACAGTTAGAGTGTATAAGTTGGCAAAAGAAGCTTTTAAGCTTAAGAAATTATCAATCAAATTGAGGACATTATGTTCATTTAAAGCGACTCTGCAAGAGCTTTTCAAGTAGCATAGGATAGATTCACTAAAAAAGCTTATTGCCTTATGAATTAACCGCTACAAAAAATCTTTAGAATCTGTCCAGTATGAGCGAAGTCGCGAAGATTTGCCACATGCTGCAATTGCATTCTCTCTTCTCATCCCGACAAAAGGGCTTGAAGCAAAGCCGGGAAAAATTGCATAGGGAAAGAAAATACGTCTCATGTGTGTCGTGACCTTGAGCACTCTTTCTCTTTCTTTTTCTTTGAATACACGGCTTTCCAGTGCGATTGCGCATGTACCCGTGGACATGTTGCAGCCAGCTGCAGCAGCCCAAGTAACGATCGAGCGCCCCATGCTCAAATCAACCAATGGCTGGTAGAATTGCTGTGACGAGCGATTTTTGATATTGTGGCGTCATTTGCCGACAGAAGAGAGCAATTTTTATCTAACTTTGAGAATGTATTGTGCATTCCATGTCATGTGCTGCACTTTAATATTTAGCTCACGTGTTCTCGGTAGCCTCGACTACCAATCGGCAGCGTTTACTGACCATACTCAAAAAGTGTTGTAGGGCCCCTTTAAATTTAAAGTGAGGCTTCGCGGCAGGGCAAATTTCCCCTGAATAAATGCTTTCACGGCTTAGTACCAAAATACTGCAGTGAAACCACCTTTACAGGTAGTTATATGCGGTTTAGTATACATTTATTCATTCATGTCGATTCGAAATATTCGATCATTTAAATTCGAATCGAATATTCGAAGCATTCGAATATTCGCACAAGCTCACTGGCGACACATACACTGTAGTTGTGTCGGCGCTGGTGGTGGTGGTGGTGGTTAAGGCCTGACCACACGCATCTGTTACAGCGCGTCAGCGCGGGGCTTTTTGACGCAGCGTCGTGCCCTTTTTGATGCGGTGTCGAGCGTGGCTACGCGAAGCTGCATGCTCACTCTTTCCATAGGGAGAGGTGACGACGCCTTGTCAAAAAGCTCCACGTTGACGTGCTGCAACAGATGCGTGTGGTCAGGCCTTTATATAGAAGAAGGCACTAAATTTCTGCAGCCCGGTAGGGAGCACGGCACAGTGCCAGCAGGAAGGGGGAATGGCAGAAAAGTGGACAGAAAAGAAAACGTTCTGAATGTAGGGGCACAGACGTCTCAGCACAAACCGCAGTCCACCATCAAGAATAGTGGTGGCTAGGGTCCTGTTCTCAGCAGTAGACCAGTGCAAAGGCGCCGAGCCCGTGCAGCATGCCGGGGTCTTTTTTTTTTTTTTTCTTTTCTTCTCTCCGCACTTCTTAGTTCTCTCTGTGTCCCCTCCCTAATGACCTCATCACTCGCCCGCTGACGGCGCACTCAGCCGAGCATTTTCTATCGTGTTTGTCCCAAAAATTTTCCGGCAACTGCATTATAAGCAGTCTTTCATCATGGGGGACTGCACAATAAGCGATATACGTATACATGGGGTTATATGGGAGAATAAACAAGAGTCGAAAAAGACTGCATTGTAACCGTTTCTGCACTATAAGCGGTTACATTATGAGGGGTCTACAATGTGCTACTAATTTGAAAGTCGAATCGAATTATTTGATAATCTATTACTCCATTCCATTTCAAAAACTCAAAATATTCATCCACCTCTGGTAATTTTGCATCAGCAAGTGCGGATACTTTACCCATTGTATCGCACTGAAGATTCTCATGTAAACAAGCCCAGCAAGTGACCAGATTTTATAAGAGGGGAGGGGAAGAAGAAGAAAAAGAAGCACGAGTGAGAGCCAATGCAGTTTTACTGCTGCAGTAAAGACAGCTGATTGATTGATTTGTGGGGTTTAACGTCCCAAAACCACCATATGATTATGAGAGACGCCGTAGTGGAGGGCTCTGGAAATTTCGACCACCTGGGGTTCTTTAACGTGCACCCAAATCTGAGCACACGGGCCTACAACTAGTGAAGACAGCTTGTCAGCATCTTGGACCATACCTTTTACAGGCCCAAAACCATTTTAATCAACAAGGTTGCTATAAAACACTTAAACGATATTAATTTATGCTTATTTATGTTTTTGCCACCATCCAACACAAATACAGAAAAACAACAACTTGCCACTGTTTTCTGGTACTGCTGTTGCATGAATTATGAGAGCATCAGCTGGTCCTCCCTTGAGCCCTCGTACATCATTTGGCTATTGGTATTGATAAAAAAATCAAATTCAGTCAAACTAAAAAAAACACATAGAAAGGGCATAAAAAACACACATAATTAAAGATCAAGCTACAGTGATAGATTACGGTGACAAATATTTACCAGAATTACTTCTGTGTATTTTAAATTAGTTAAATTGCAGAGCAGATAACAACAGAGGACAACAGACTACCAAATAAAACAGATGAATTCATCATCTAAATGCTCAAGTTACACGGGTTAGGCACAAATAGTGCTCATAGAACAAGGTAAACCCGTAAAATCAGTGAGCTTAGTACGAAAAACTACATGTTTGCTAAACTATACTGGCAGCAATAAAGGGGTTATGAACCAGTCTTTGCGCTTGGTGAAGCAATGAACACCATTCTATGGTGTTCATTGCTGAACACCACATTCTATGAACACCACACATTCTATGAACACCATACACTGCTGTGAACAGTGCAGCCAAATTTGGTAGTTGTGCGTGGCCCAGAGCGTTTACAAGTGGATCGAGAAGTTGCCATTTTTTAAAGTACCTTCTCCTAATATCGAGGTCCAATCCTCACGCGCTTCGGTGAGGGGCACCAGCTGTATGTCACCAAACAGCAGATTTCTGCTATTGTCTGATAGCCGACGTAAATCAGCAGCGGTGTTCACACCAGATGCGCTTATTACCACAAGGCGTTGTCATATGCCGGTTCTGCTCTTTATAGTGTGCTAAAATTGCGTAGGAGCATTAGTGCGCAGAAGAATCAGAACGAGCAAGAGCAATCGCATTTGATAACGTCCATTGATGTAGCTCCTTTTTTAGAAGTTATCTCTCCCAGTGGAGCTTCTCGTGCATGTCAGGAAGAGCAAAAAAAGAAAGTACTGAAAGTGTGCGACAGCTCCCATGCACCTCTACTCGTTCTTGAAATTGTTTGTAGCAATCGTTTCGTGTGGCAATCAACTCAGATATAGAGGTCGTTCAATGATTACTTGAAAAGGTGGTTCAGGACTCCTTTAAAACATAGATATATTTATATAGTGTACACAGTAGACTCGCAATCATTCAAACTCTGACAATTCATACTTTTGGTTAACTGAAATGAACTTAATTCAAATAAAGTTCAATTTTTTGGTTGGCCCTCCATTTTTTCAATGTACTTAAAAGCCTCTTAATTCAAACACATCATCTGGCTAATTCAAATTTTTTGCAGTACCACACCAGAAAATATCTACCGTTTTCCCTCTACCATTTGACACTTTGTGTGCTTACATAATTCTAACAGTCTAAAAATGACAAATAAGCACCTCAGCCCTGAAGGAAAAGGCTTTCCTAGTAAACAAATGTTTTAAATGAGGCACACACACGGTAAACCGTGATGCTTCTCAAATGGTACAGAAAACTTTGTGCTGAAGGCACATATAGCAAAGAAGCAGTTGGCAATTCACGATTTCTTTAGAAGGTCTGATCAGCAGTAAATGGCTAATAAACTTGTGGACCTTACACCTCTGCTTTTTGTTCATTAGGTGCAGTTAGGACTTAAAAACGCTTAAAAATATTTTAAATGTGATCAGATTAATGCCTAATCATAATGTGTAGTGTTACCTCACTCAAAGTCATATATCTGAGAACTTCTGATAACTCAAACAAAATTCAGAGGTCCCTTCGAGTTTGAATTAACGAGAGTCGACTAAATAAATGAACATCTAGCTTGATTCACTTTGCATAGCTATGACATTCACGATTTTATCTGCATTAGATTTATCTTTTACATTTTATCTGCATTATACTGTGATAAAGCTAAGTTACCAGGTGCTAGTTCTGTGGATTTACTCAGATTGGCAACAATTGCACATCACAGCTATACACCATATCTGCAAGCCACAATAAAAATATGTTAGAAAAACTCACATTGTCACCAAAGATCAAGTGATCACTGACATCTTGCAAGTCAATCAAGCTCTCTCCATTCTCATCAGGCAGGGCATCTTCAATAGCTTTCAAGGGCTGAGGGGTGCTGGTAAAGACAGTGCCCAAATGAGAAAGAGCCAGTATAATTGGATAATTGCTTTGCATTATCATTCTACCCCCCCCCCCCCCATGACTTGATAACGCATATTTTCAGTACCCCACTTTGAAATCGTGCATAAATTTGAGGATGAGAATGTACTTACTCTAAGCAGGTCCCTGAACCAAAAGACGCATAGGACTGGCGTGTAGGTAGCATGAGACCATCTTGGATACCTAGGGAGCTACTCTGTAAGCATAAAAAACAAACTAAAACTGTAACTTTGTTCAATAGGACATTAAATAAGATAGAGCATGCCATAACTACTGAAAATAAATATAGTTTTCTAATGACCTACAGCTTATCCCAAGAAGGCAGTATCTCAAGATGGCAAGTGCTAGCAGAAGAGTGCCCCAGTGTTGCAGAACGAAAACCTCCATTCCAATTCCACTCCGGGGAATTTCAATGTGCCATAATTTACGTTCTTTTCAATTCCTCAGAAAGAAATAACTTAGCCTATTCCCACTCCGGGAATGGCCAGGTAGGTCAATTGCATTCCTACCACTCCTCAACGTAGGAAAGACATATCTTGATAACTATATCGAGCTTAAAATGATTGAAAACACATAAAGCTAATGTCATCAGACGCATAAGAACTGTAATCCTACGCAAAACACGTTACAATGGTTGAGGAATAATAGCTTGGTGACTTATCTCGTGCAATACAACCACACTACTAGTTCCCACAGGGGCAGTTTTCCCGCTACATATAATATTTGCATGGTCAGCTTAATCTTGAAAAAAAGTGAGTAATGAGTTGGCAACGCATGCATTTACTCGTTTCAAGTGTATTTTACTACCGTCACAGCATCTCTTCACTAAAGCCAGCAGCTAGTAAAGCTTGAAACTTTTTGCCGTTGCTAACCAGGAATGTTTCTAGGTCTTTTCAACTAGGTAACTACTAAAACACATACATTGCCAGATCTCTCGTAAACACCGCCGTATATCTTGCAGTAATCGTCACACTCTTGAAAAAAATTTAAAGCAATCTTAATTTTGTCAATTTCTTTGGAATAAAAAATTTTGTGCTAAGTGATGACACACACATACAGAAGGGCAGACCATACGTACAAAATGTCCATTATCTTTCTAAATTTCATGGCTTTTAGCCAATACACAGTGTTCAATTACAAAGTAGGAGCATAAAAACTTCTGCTACAGTATACGATACCGGCTAACTCATGATATTTTATGTGCACGTTCGCGTGTATGTCCTTGCTGTGATTTGTTCATGCCTCTACATATCTTAGTGATAAGTGACCACTAATTAGTGAATTTATGCATGTATCTTAGTAATTAGTAACCACTAAATCATCTGCATGGGCAATCGCACTTAACTTATTATCCTATACATACTTTTGTAATTGAATTATCTTGATGTGGCAATGCACATGCACATATAAACACCTGTTAACTAAATGTTCAGTATTGTACTACTTATTCAAGCCAGCACTATTTATGCACTATTCTGCATACTAGCAAGTTTCACTAATCAGCATTTTACTACCTTCACTTACTAGAAGGTTAGTGCTTTTCGTGACAAGTAGACTGTAAGTATTTAGTTAGTGAATAAGCAGGCCTTTTCTTCCAGAGTGCATGTTTGAACGACTGATATATTGATGTGCTTTAAGCTTAAATATGTTAATTCTAAAATGATGACTTAGTGAATCGTCGCGTAGGGATTCAGGGAGGCGCCACCTTGGTTACATGTAATCATCTGCTTTGGCTGGCTACCTGTACCAATGCTTTAAAAAGTGCTTCTCTATCTGTCTTTGTACAGTTCATCTTGTACAACAGTTCATCGCACACACAGTTCACACAGCACACAGTTCATCGTGTACGATTGTGTGTTGCACTGGCCTAAGGCCTTTTCGATAGGGTTTCAGGCAAAGGCGCCCATGTGTTGGCAGGACAAACCGTATTAAAGAAAAAGAACGAAATGGGGGGGGGGTGGTAATATGTAGCGAGCTTGCACACAAGCTGGTATCAAAAGCTTGCAGTAAACAAGCATGTCACTGACAGCGGCAGAAGTAACACCAAAGTGAAGTATGGGGAGACAGAAGGCAGCTGAGGCGCCACCGAGGGGGAAAAAAACGCCAAGCCTGCGCGGAAGGCGCACCACAGTCACAGCGAAAGTTAGAAGAGCGGCCTTTCAGAGCCTTTCAAAACACTCATTGAATAACTACTGCAAGCACACTTGCTTGATACCCACTAGTGGCTTAATAATAAACTTTTGGGTAGTAGACCGGCATTCGCCATGCTATTTTTCATCATTCTTCTGAGAAGCGTGGTATCTGATAAACACTTGCAAGGAATTTCGTGTCAATTGTTCATGCAGTGGCTGGCGACGATGAGGAATTATAGATGAAGTGGGTATGCGCCACAATTAATAGCTGACCAAGAACAAGCATTTGTAAAGGATTGGACCATTAGATGGCCCACTTTTTATGCTATTCGCATTGTGCGACGACTGGTTCTTTTTTAGCTGTTTTAAAACGCTTTATAAGCCGTATTAACGTGAGTGCTTTCCTGACATCAAGCCTGCCTAAGGCAAGTTTGCCAACATGTCACAACTACCAGCCTAGCTCAGTGGTAGAATACTGGGCTGGCATCCAGCGGACCCGAGTTCAAGCCCCACCGTGTCTTTGGTGCTAGGTTTGCCAACAAGTCACAAGCACCGGCGTAGCTCAGTGGTAGAATACTGGGCTGGCACCCAGCAGACTCAGGTTTCGAGCCTCACTGTGTCTTTGGTGCTAGGTTTTTTTCTAATTTCACACGATGTGGTTACGGACACCGGCAGCGGCGGAGGACAAGAGTCATCTCTTCATGCTGGCTATAGGTCACACAAAAAGTTAGGCTATGCCTTATGACAGATTATTGACAGCCACTTCACAGAGGGACTAGCACGCTTTTTTTGCTGTGAGAAATAAAACTATCTTTTGTTTGTCCAGCACTTTGTTCGCATGAACACATTTTTTTGGCATAAAGTTCCATAAAGTGTATGGATGCTGTAGCGTGTGGTTGGTGGGCACTTTATGCTCAACGTAGCGGCTTGATGAGGATTACAAATTTACCTATGTATTATTGTGAAATTTACATCAACATTTATGGACTTCTTGACTAAATATAACAGCCCAATGCAACGGCACTAATACTTTGCTTCCAAATACCTAGAAGCATCAACTACTTCACTTTCTGTCAATTTTCTACATGTTAAGGGTATATGAATTTAAATAGAAAACTTGGGGGTTCCACGACACTTTGGAGAAGCCATAGGGGTTACCCAAGGCCAGAAAGTTTGAGAACCCCTGGCGTAAGGTTTCTCCTTGTACAACATATTAAAAGAGAATATACACAGTATATCTTAGCAGTAGAGTGGCCATTTTAATCCAATAAGGTATCATGTTGTCTTGTCATTTTTCTGAGACTCGGCTTTTTACTAGTTTTTATTTTGCCACATTCACACACACCCATAAGTCGCGCAGTCTCACTGCTGCCCTGACAGCATTGAGGCTGGGGAACTTCACCAACCAATTATCAACATTAGCCCACAACCCCACCTCACAGCTTTGAAGGCTATGATTTCAGTATATCTGTAACAAAATCAGAATCAATGATTGCCACTTAGAAACCATAATCTTCTAATTATCCAGTCAAATTTAAATGAGACAATAGAGCACTGTAGAAATTCCAAAACTTATGTGAGATTTCACTTGAACCAATTTCAATTTACTGAGGTTTTAGTGTACAAGCCTACATCATTTATTGTGAACACTATGTTTTCTTGGGTGACAGCCGTTGTGGAGGCGCTAACACCCCCTGTAAAGTTGTTCGCGCCTCGTGGCACACACGTGTTTCGCACATAGGCCGCATTTAGGATTCACAACTATCGCGCGGTAGATGGCGTTGTGCTCGCGAGCGTTCATTACTACCATCATCAGCATGATAGCGGGGCAGCGCCGGCAGTGACACCTCGTGGCGACCCTGTGTGGCGGCACATGAGAGATGAGCGGGCCTCTTTGGCGCGTAGTGGATGGCGCGAACAGTTGTCTCTTGCGGTTGGTCCGCGGTAGACGACACTGCGGGTCATCTGCCGTGGGCCCTCGTGGCGAGTAGAGTGTTGCCAAAGCTGCCTTCACGCTGCCAAGTTTGTGTTTGTTGTTATTGAGTCTTGTAAAATACTGTGCAAGGTTGTTTAACAAGTTGACCACAACTGATTTATTAGTTTGGCTGGCAATATCGTCAATCTAAAAGTAATTAAATAAATGTATTGTGTAAGTGGTTCGACCACATGTACAGTTTGTTCGTTCATGCCGAGAGCATGGTGCCTCATTTAGAGACCCCACACCGTAAGATATCAGAACTGCTGATCATGTTGAACTTTGTCCCCATTCATAATGCATGACATACAGTCGAAACCGAAACTGATGCTCAAGGTACAAGTGGCTGCCATCTACCCATGCGAAAGTTGTGACACTACCACCCTTGATGTCTTAGGTAGTTAGAAGAGACATATGTACATAAGGCATTGTGCACTGCAAGTGCTTAAAAGAAAACTAAAGTTAAATGACAATTTACATCAGAGTAAAGGCCAATATTGATGTCTAAAATGTCAATATTATCAACAGCAGTGCCCTACTTACCGAGAAATGTAGGTAAATACACAAGAATACATGCGCCGCAGTAGGACATTCTCAAAACGATCCCGATGACATCAGATGGACCGCCTACAATTAATAACTAGTAATCGATCTAGCTGCACTGAATAAAGAACCTTCCGTGCATCAAGAGATGTAATAAATGCTGCTTGTTTGTTTCTTTTTGATTCATGAAAAAAAAAAAAAGAACCACTGGACGTTACTACGGAGAATGGCGCGAGTGGTTCAAAAATTCAATTTTCGCGTGGTTAAACTAGACAGGTCGTGCCATCTAGTGGGGTGCAGTTGAACCAAAACACGACTGCCATCTCAGAGCCAATGGCAGGAAATTGATCAATGGCCATTGTTGCTGCTGCTATGGCTCCCGCTGCTTCTCTCTGCTGCTACTATGATGTCGGCTATCATGCATTAATACAAAGAAACGTTGTGCACAGCAACAATGACATCAGACGTTTCGTTGATGCGGGCAATTTGAAGTGCGCTAACCCGATGAGGACCACTAAAACGCGATTTTATTTCAAAATAAGCCTTTCCTTGGCCCAAAAGTAACCCTACGAGATTTCAGAACTGCTATTTCAACAATCAACATCGACTTAATAGTTGCCTTTAGTGCCCCCTTAAAAGGAGGCCATTATTATCAAACATAACAAGCGAGTGGCACATGCAAATCACAAGTTCAGTTCGGTAATTTAGTTAGTTCAATCACAACCACTTTTTATTTTGTGACATACAATCAGAGTCTAAACTTAAGTGCAGTAATGGCAGACATTGTTCAGTGTGATTTCAATATATCATCTTAGTATTGAACTCAAACTCAAATAAAACTTGGCATTGAAGTAGCATTTTACCTCAACTATAATGCTGTCACAGACACCATCAGATGTTACATTTTCCCAAAAGGGGCCTTTTTTCTGGGTTCCCTAAAAATGTACCATACAAATGGGCTTCCATTGTAATTAGGTGGCCAGCCTCCCAATAAACAATGACAACTTGTACAAATTGATATACAGTGCTAGATGGGGGGGGGGGGGGGTTAAAAGAAAGTTGAAAAAAAAAAAAAACTACTAGAACTGAATTCTACACTGAAGTTGAAAGTGCTACTGTACTTTCTACATTAGCTTTGACACTAGCTTTTTTCTCAAGTAATTTTCTTTAATTGCTATGTAAGCCTAGAGGCCTGAGCCTGCCAGACTGGAGGCATAAAGTGATGCTGAACACAAAGTGCAAAGCCACAGCTCAGCTCTGATAAATGACAGAATTTGATACATTAGTATAAAAAGCTGTTAATAATTCACGTGAAGTGTTAATCGTACAGCGCGTCTTGCATATTTAAAAAAAATAAGGCACTTGGAGGTTGCACGGTGCTCAGAGCAGGCTTACCCTGTTCTTCTTGGGCGGCAGAGCAGGTGGAGAACTCAGTTCAAACGGCGCTGCCAAAGTTGCATCTTGCAAAGAGCTGCCAAGGAACTCGTCACTTCCCAGGCTAGCAAAAGACATCTGCACTTGCTTGTAGAGTGCTGCTTGGTACGTGTACAGGCGACCACTGTTGAAGAAATCGTGCTGCTCTGCAGGCTGTGAGTAGCTGCCAAATGTCTGTATATACTCCTGGACTGTATCACAAATACAAAAAAAGAAAGCATATATATATGCTATGTACATAGCCCTGCCCTTTGAATGAGAATAACCAGCCTCAGGCACATTGAGTAGGGTGCCACCCAAATGAAACTTCCAAAGTTGTAAATTAACAAGAAACATATATTTCTTACAAAAATATATACGGTATATCTTTATACCAAATGCATTTTAAAATTTAAAACAAATTTGTTATGGAACCCCACATACAAAATCAAGAGACCAATCGGGATGCAACAAATAAAGTTAAGCTTTATATAAGTGTCGTTGAAAAGGAGGGAGGTAAATAAACCTCATTTATTATAGTAAAACTAGGCTGTGCAAAAACCCCATTGCACTCCAGTAAGGAGTCACCATAATGGGCTGAGAACCTCACCATTTTGTATCTTTAACCCCTTCAGGATTTTCACCATCCCTGTACGGCATCGCCTGTATGTTTAAAATGCATGCCTTTTTCTATCATTTCTCTTTTTTAGCATGTACTGCCACAGATTTAGAATGCATGTAATTTTTCTTCATGCACCGATGTCTCTCCGTGTATTTTATTTTTTGCTTCCCAAAGCACGCGCGTCCAAGTATTTTCGTGGTGTAGCTGGTTTAAAATGCACACCTTTTGTGACCCTTTCTCTTGCTTGCATGAGCTGCTACACTTGGGGATACCTGGAATTTTTTCATGCACCGATGCCTCTCCACCATTTTTTTAATATGCTGTTTTCCAAAGTGGCTCAGCGGCTTTCGCTTGCGCATCCGAACGTGTGCACGTGGTGTGGCTGGTTTTGGTTTTATTCTTCGAATGGTTATCACTTCTCATGTCCACAAAGCTGATGGCTATCTGATTTCTAATGTCTCAAAGGGTGACCGGGATATTGTACATGCTAGAAACCTCTCATGACTTTGTGCAGCGATGATTCAATAGATTGAAAATTATGCACTTTTCATGATGATTCAATCTTATCTAAATCAAATATAGTTTGAATCAGTCATCATCTCCATTTAGTGGCTTACACAAAGGTAAAGGTATACGTTTAGGCATGTACGTAAACATTTACATATGGGGAGCTAAAACTCTTCTAAAACGTGTTTCGATAACACGGTAGCTGCTATCTGGTATTCTGGTTACCCAGTAAGGTTAAAAAGTATATGTATATTGCTAAAGTTTCGAGTGACATAGAAATTACAAATACAACATCTGCAACATGTTTTCCCATTTGTCCCAGTCTGTGTTGCACTGCAGCCAATTATCGTGGCTCATCTTAAGACATTAAAATAAACAATCAATCAATTAATCACATACTCATTTTTTTCTTTGGAGGCAGGGGTGGTGGTCGGCCATCCTCAGCTGCAGTGGAAACATTAGTTGAAGAGGCATTTGTCAGCTGGCCATGTTGTGGGCATGATGGCTCATGTCCAATCACCTTGCAGCCCATCATATCTGTGGTATGTGTGCTGTGCCAGTGTTCACTTTTCCATCTCTCTCCATCTATTGCATCCTGAAAACATACATTCAAAGCTCTCAATCTCACAACACAACATGGCTGCAGCAGTTCATGGTAAGGCACTGCTGGGCAAGTTCTATTGTGACTGATTCATGCACACTTTTTCTCACTATATTACTACATGCCATCTGTCAAAGAGTAAGTAAACTCCTTATACTTGAGCTTTTGAGTAGCTCAGTTTCGCACCAGAATGAATAGAAGGTGGGAAAAAGTTTCGAACTGCAAAAGGTCAATGATACCATGCTTTCTTTAGGTTTGATGCAAACAAAGTAATAGTACATCTACAACCCTAATACACCCAATTCACCATGTACACCTGCAGCTAGGTTCATATTCTCCATGAAGCAGTGTGTAGGACTTAGTTCTGATCAGTGGTGGCCATACACAAAATAGATTTTCTGGCATTATCAGCTTATCTTGATTTCCAGAAATTTGCCAATGACCAATGCCTAAGAAAAATGTGCATAGACAGAGCATGTAGTGCAAAAGAAAGGTCACCACAGTCATTAAGAATAACAGACAGTAATTTAATATCTGGTGTTTTATGTCCCAAAACTATGATACGATTATAAATGTCGTTGTGGAGGGCTCTGAAAATTTTGACCATCCCATGTTCTCTAAAGTGCGCTGACATTGCACAGTACATGGGTGTCTAGCATTTCGCCTCCATCAAAATGCAGCTGCCACAGCCAGGATTACCGTATTTACTCGCATAATCCTCGCACTTTTTTTGACGGAAAACCGATGCAAAGTTGGGGGTGCGAGAATTACGCGGAGAAAACTTATGGGGAAAGTGGTTGCAAATCAGGATTCTCACACCAGCAACTAACAGCAAGCTTCTAGAAGCACTAATTAAAACTTTCCTCAACAATAAAAGCACAGGTTCAACACAAGGCAAGTTTTATTTGAGACACAAAAAGTGCAAGGAAACAGTCGAGAATTTTAGTACCAAGCGCAAAGCTTGTGGGCGTTGCGGTAGCGTTTGTCGCTCAACAGGAGCCCTCAAAAGGTAAGCGTAGGGCGTCAGTATTGGGTTAATGGCTATCTAACAAAATCGTCTGCAGTTTCCTTCAGAAGAAATAAAGTTTACCATCAATCCCAGTTTTAGGCACACGGAAGGCCCAACGCGTCTTGGTGGCTTTCAGCTGCCGTCACCAGTAGTGAACACAAAACTCGTAGACTCCGAAAGGCCTACCGGAGGCCCTGTTGCCATTGTTTAGTGCACAATCTATCACTTTCAGCTTGAAATTAGCCGTGTAGCTTTGGTATCGCCTCATAACGTGACAAGATTACCGACACAACATACAAAACATGCCGCAACGCGCACTTGCCACTTTGGCTTGGCTTGGATTGAATTGAATCTCCGTGCAATAATAGAACGCTTGATGCATAAGAGATGGCGCCAGACGGTGTGTGCTATCATCATCAGTGGTTTGAATGAGCAGACGACATTATTGCGGCAGTTTTTGGGGGTGCGATAATTACTCAAGGAAAAAAAGAAATCATATTTTTGTGGGGCGATGTGGGGGGTGCGAGAATTATGCGAGTGCGAGGATTACGCGAGCAAATATGGTAAACCTGCGATCTTCAGGTCAGCAGCCGAGCACTGTAACCGCTATGCCACACAGTGAACAGAGCTACAGACTGGATTCCAAGACAATGAAAACGTGCTAAGGTGAGGCTAGAAGTTAGGTGGGCAGATGAAAGACAGAAATTCGCGAGGGTAACAAGGTAACACCAAGCACAGGAGAAGGTTAATTGATGAAACATGGGAGAGGCCCTTGCGCTGCAGTAGGCACGGTCAAGCTGATGATGATGATCAGGTAGGTGTCAGGAGGTCTCTCCCCTCATTCAGAATTTCCACACTAAGATTCAAATTCACTTTAATATAAATTGCGGCACCATTTGCAGATCACAAGTTTTGGTGACTGATCTAAGCGATGCCAGAGACCATTGGGCCTCACGTCATTCGGAGATATTTCAGACAGCATCGATCAGCTGCTTGTTCTGCAGCACACAAGTGACTTTTCGTTTGTTTGAACGGACTGTGGTTTTTGGTATGAGATTGGAAACACAGATAATGACACCTGATGATGCAGAGCCTAACTAAGGACCCACAAAACTTACATTGCAGTGAATTACATGCTTTACTGACTCTGTATAAAGCATTGACAGTGAGATAAAAATCTACTTGCAGTACTCTCATTATTTTACTTCAACGAGAACACTGATGCGAGAAAAAAAGAAAATTTCAGATGTATTGTAGTTGGACAAATTGCCACAAGATGCCCTTACTGAATTCATTGCTGCTGTCAGAAGCTTTGGCAAACTGGTACCTACACACGTTATGAAGTCTATGGACAAACTGAAACTCTCTACTACCAGGATTGTACTGATAGTGGACACACAATTGCTTTGACTCTCTGCATCACATGGCGATGTCTGCATTGAAACTTATGATTAATGCAGTTCTACATCTCGTTGAATGAAAATAGACGTATGTGCCACACATGGGATTAGCAGAACTTTAAAACTGAGCATGGCCTAATCTATATATAATCAGTCGTCAATAGATATGTCTAATGTAAATTGAGTTACAAGATAAGCACCATGGTTTCAGTACCAAAGAAACAAGCACATCCAGCAGCACTAACATAGTAGATTAAATAAGAACACTAGCGACATGGTAGTCTATAGAAGATAGCCAGTGATATCACTGGTATACGTGATCAAGTGATCATAGTTGTTTACAAGTGTTTGCAAGTAATTCCAGGTACGCTATGAAGCTGCAAAGTGCTCTTTGAAATCAGAAGTGCCATTGGCTGCTAAACATTCATTTCACACATGCGCAAACAAATTCCTTTACCATAACTAACAAGTCAGTAGCCAGCGACTAAGCGAAAAAAACAGATTTAATACTCTATCAGTACTAATCTGAGATCGCACTTTGGAGAAGCAGTGACTGTTGATTCAACAAGGTCATTTTTTCTGGGATTGCAATAAGCAATAAAAAGTGAAGTGAAACTGTTGTAGAGAAAAATACTTCCTAAAAAATACACTTGCTACACGTAACAAATTGCATCCCTCATTTATAACAAGTACTATGTCTTAAAGAATCTTTGCATGCATTACTTGTCCGAGTTGCTAGACGATTGCACACGTGCATATATACATGGAAAAACACAGGAAAAAAAGTTGCTGTTAGAGATAACTGCCAGACCTCAGCATCTGAGACATTGTCATATTGAGATGGTGTCCTTGTTCTGGCAGAACGCTGCTTGATGGGAAGTGCAGGTTTGATATCATCTACACTAGTCCCAAGAGCAGACCCCTTCAGCTCAAATGATTGGTGGCTGACCGAAGCCAGTGTCTTGTCCACCTGCATGCAAACAAGAATAGCATGATTTCAAAATTGATTGCACTATAGTGCCATAGTTAAAAGCAGTAGAAAACAATTATGCTAATTATTAGTGGCAATTTCACCTGAAAAGCAAAGTTTTGATTGTGATAGCAAAGCATTGGACAACTACATAAAGTAAGGTGCTTATTTTTATTGGCCATAACACTTGTGTGCAACAATCATTGTAACACTTGTAAATTAAACTAACAAGCATGGTGTGACATGCACATAGGTAAACATGAACACAAATCATTTAATGACAACAAATACTACTAGCTGTCACATTACTGGCCTGGTAAAGAACAGTAGTAACGAAGAGTAAACTTTTCATGCTGCTCCATCTCAGCAACTCTCTTCGCCGCATCTTGGCCACTTGAGATTGTGTAACCTTCAATATCAGGCACACAGGAACAAAGAGCACATGCATCTACCAGTCGTCTTGGCTTGCCCTTAGTATTAGTGCTCCCTACACAGTAGCTCCAACACGGCATATTGTGCGTTGGCTGTGTATATGCTCAATTGTGCAGACAGCCATGTGTCCTCACAGACGATATAAAGAGGAAAGTGAACTTGTTGAGAGTCCACGTTGTCTGGACGGCCCATATACTAACTGCTAGTTCCACAATAAGAACAGCACTCAAGGGGCACTGCAATGCTTTCCCAATTAATCATGAAACGGCTTTATTAAAGGGGCTCATTGCCTGAAGAATCGACATCTGTCAAGTACAAGTGGAATTAAAGGGATTTGTCGCAAGCTTTAAGTGCTTCCTCTCTCCTTTCGTAGTAGTGAACGCATTGAAAGCTATGCAGATGAGAGGATGACCAAGAGGCAAGCAAACAAGTCCCTTCGTCAACGCACGTTAAGACCTTGAGTGCTTTTATTTTTTTTTAACATGACTTATTTGCATTGTGGTAACAATAGTGTGCACGGGCACGTGACAGTGTTCTGCAGCGGCTACAGTAGCTAGACAAAGCTTGCGATGCTCAAATCAGCCAATGACTGGAGTTTGGGTAAATGGCAAAGTAATCTGGGTATATGACATCATTTGTAGAAAGATGAGGAAGTGATTTCTAGCTGCTTTTGAGAATTGCAAATTTCAGGTAGCGTGCTGCTCAAATAATGTTTGGCCCATGTCATTTCAGGAACCTTGACTACTGATCAGCAACATTTTCTTACTGTGCTCGAAAAGTGTTGCAGGGTCTCTATAATCGAGTGGTGACACAAGAATTCGAACACAATTTGACTGCGGTATTGCACTGATGGGAACATACAGGTACCATCTTTCATTTTTTCATTTATTTACCTTAAGGGCTGAACGTGGGCATTACATAGGGGGGAGCATGACAATTCTGCACAAGATCAGCGGCAAATACAGCCTTAAAAATATTTTAATTGGATTTTCAAAGTCATTAAAGAGTCAAATCACAAGCTGAAGCAAAAAGCAATGAAGTCATCATGTGGAGACACTTCGTAAAAAATTTGCACCACATATTCTGGCTGGGTTATGTTCTTCATCCTCGGGTCACCTGAGAATGGAGAGCCCAACCACAGACCCACAAACATAACACTGTAGCGGCTTACCCGTTTACTGACTACATGCAAAGCATGGTCAGTGAGATAATTATCAACTTGCAATATTCTTGTTGTTTTTTACAAAAACAGTGACGTGAATGAAAAAAAAAACAGACAACTGGTATTTTTAGTCACCTGACAGTATTTCTTTATGAGTATGCCGAGTGTGTTGTGGGACCATCGAGTACTCTTCAAAATTGAAACTGCCCTCAGTGATGAGTCATAACACATGAGCACTAATTTAAACATTAGTTTTGCACTGTGGCAAATGAGTTTCGTTGTCGCTCTCAACGAGTCAGTATTAACGAGTCAGCAATGTCACTGTGCACAGGACTGAAGCTATCCGCCCGAGGTCTGCAAAGCCGAGGAGGTCGCAGCTTAAAGAGATCCTGAACCATGCTTTGTGCGTGATAAAAGGCACTGCAGAAGCAGATGCTGCTTTGAACAACTCAGCCAAAACTTGCAGTCATGCGTGGCAAAGAAAATTTACAAGTGGAGTGCGAAGCTGCCACTTTATCAAGCACCCTCTCGTCATACAGAGACCCATTCTTATTCTTTTCAGAGCTGTTATTGTCAACTTTAATCTATGTCGAAGAAGATTGCTGCTAATGAGAGCTGATATACTGTAATTATTTGAATACAGGGTGAGCTTTTCTTTTCCCGGAAATGTTATGGACAGTCAGCTATCAATCTATATTCATGACCATAAAAACTTGACCTATATTAGGGATCAATTTGCGCAACGGCACAGAGCTAAAGAAGTTATACTGTCAGGTGCACTGTTTTTCAAGCAGCGCCAGATAGGTTGGTAAATTACGTATGTGTACTTCCAGTGAACTGAACACCACCAAGAAAGATAAAGGAGAGATAATGTTAAGAATTTTAATAAAAACATTCAGAGATCGCCATAACCATTGCCGCTACACTTCAGACTCAGCTACCGCGGCTGCACACGAAAACGCACTGAGCTATCTTTTGTCGACGAATAAAACCATGGACAGGAGAACGGCATCATCCGAGGGACCATAAACACTGCATGCGATTCCATAACTGCCTTCAGTTGAGGGGGTTAAACTAAACACACATAGCACACATGCACGACAACTGACAAAGTCAAGAAAAACAAACAGAAGGTGATCATATTGCAGAAAGCATAGAAGCAGTTTCAATGATGATAAGTCCATGCCCCCGTGCTTGTTCTTGACACTTCAAAGTAACTTAGGCACTAGGCTTACATGCATATATAGACAAAATAAGTAGCAAACAAGTACTTATGTGTACCTGCTTCATGGCTGATATATGTGTTGATGATGATGAGTGACTAAGCAGCTGGTCAACACTGTCGCTTCGGCTGCTGACAGTAGTAGTACATGCATTGTAGCTGAAGCTCTGATAGCTTGTCTGAAAAAGAAGAGTACGTATCATCATTTCAAGTCAACCAGTTGAAGGATTCAGGTATAGTATACATACAATGGCAATGACAAATTTCCCACAGAGACCTGCTCCTTCAAAAGAATGCTAGTAAAAAAAAGCTTCAGTCAATAACGTATATATACGACATGAAGAAAGATGTAGCTACCATTTTTAATGAGGGCACAAACTTAGGTGAACTCTGCCTTGTGTCTTTGTTGTTGTCAATAGCTCCCAAAATAAAATTTAACGAGACTTCCCTGATGAACTGTTTTTGGCTCCCAGGACCGCACTTGATGTGCAAAATGCGCCTGCCTTCTAAAGTTGTATCTAACTATGACAAGTACAGCTGTGGTAACTGTGGTATCTTTCCATGCAGCTTAGTGTATAAGCGGCCCGTGTTCCCTATTTAGCAGATACTCTGCACTGGGTGCACAGGCTTGATATGCCGAAAAGGTTGGTTTACAGTTACGCAGTATAATCTTATTGCAACAATATAGCGAGTTGGGCTAGTTCGTGTACGTTCATGTCCATTTTCAATGTACGAGTCTTCAGTGTGCTTGAAACTAATATTTAATCACGAATTTCACTGATACAATCCTGCATAAGTTATTTTTGAAATAACAAGAAGGGATGTTCAAATATTCAATCTTTCAAATAATTTTGAACTAGTATTTACTGTTTCATTCAATTTGTGCAGAAGAGTTTCGCTATTCGAAGTATTCGAACTTTCAGAAAAAAAATATAATGGTTTATACTAACAGAATAAAATAAAATGACACTAAATTGGCATGCAGTGTGCTTGCTCTTGCGTTCTGGGTTGCCAACTGACAAAACTGTTAGCCGCTTCCACCAGTGCTCCAAGCGGTCGCTGCGTAACATGCTGCGCGATGGGCTTGGCCGGAGGTGTTGCTACCAATGTGTAAAATGTCCATCTATTGCTCTACAACATAGAGAGTTTCCTAAAATTCACAAAACGGGATTCTGGCATAGCGATCCTTCAGCCACCATAGTAATGATGTGTAATACATTTTTGCCTAGTCTTCGTACTTGCGGGCTTCAAACACACTTGAGGCTTAGTTTATTGTTGTGTTTTGTTTTTGTTTCAAATAAAAGAACAAACCGTTGTGAACTTCAAGAGCCAATGAGAATTTATGAGCCTAAAGAGGTCAAAGTGGTGAAGCATAACTGCTGAACTTCTGCTGAACTTTATGTAGCGGCAAAGTAAATTCAAGCCCCAAGAAGCCAAACGGAGCTGAAAGAATGAAGATTTGATAAATCTGTCTACTACCCATCATTATTATGCTGGCTGATGTGCCATGCATTGCAGCTCCCATAAACACTAGCGCTAGAGCCACCTATAGTGTATATAGAAGAAACTACAAGCTCTGAGGAGCTAGCAGGCAACGCAATTTATTCCTTGCAACGAAGCACATTGTGGCTGCTTTGCTTTTGCATTCCCACTAGCACGTTGTCCTTCCCCGTGAAGTTCAAATTCATCTCGCAGATCACGACACCAAGAGCCGAGTTAGGCCCAGTAACGACGCCCGATGTTTCAAAGTACGCACGTCATGCTCCATTGCAAGTACAAAGAGTGGTTGCACTATGGTCTCTGTCTCGAGGTCCAAAGTGGTGATAAGCAGAACTTCCAAAGGCCTGACCACACGTACGCATTACAGCTAGTACGTGTGGTCAGGCCTTCGCAGTATTCCTGATGGTGACATGACAACTTTCAACAATTTCAGCACCTGCCAAGAGCCTTTTTACATATGTCAGGTCCCCCTTTTCTCGGTTTTCATCAAGTACAGTAGCAAATTCTCATGCCTAGAATGACAAAATGTTGTGGCCGAAACTTCACGAGCGACATCTGCAGTCATAAATACGCGACATGTGAGCATGTGTGGCACCAAAGACACGTCTCCATTGCATTTCTTATCACCGCGGATGCAACAAAACAACTGAGTTGGCCGTCAAAAGTGCTCTGAACAATTTGGGGAGGGGAAGGATCGTTCTTGGTATGATATGATACTATGAACCAAGAATAAGTTCAGAGTATAAATGGCCCCTATCCAAGTGAATACACCTTTTTTTTTTTTTTGCGCTGCTAAGTTAACAGCGCTTCGACGGCTTAAAACAGTCATCACAGCTCAATGATAAACAAGCACGAAAACTACACGGCGCTCTGTTGTTCTAGACATGAGAGGTGACCACTGTACATATATCCAATCAAGGCACCTCCCTTGCACAAGCTTTACTTGGTTACGAAAAGGCCGATATACCTCTGGATGCTATTTATGCGAATTTCACAGCTTCTGTATAATGGTGCCAATATAAAATTCAGGAAAGGGCAATGAACATGGACATGGAAACTCATACCATGCTCTCTGCACTTCTTTGAAACACTGAGTATGACAAAGCCACATTCTAGGAACAATTCACAAGGGGATAGTAACCTTTTGCTTGTGTGTCGCTTATGTTCATGGAGTGAAACGTAACGACAACTTCTTTTTTCTTGGTCAACGTCTGACAGAAGCAATGTGTTTTCATATGGTTTTCAACTGAAATTGGATCATACAGCTACATCAACGGGCTTTTACCGAAGCTTCTAAAGCTTAAAACTTCCCATTTATGCCTGCAGCTGAGCAGATACAGCAGCAGCATGGATAAATAACCATTGGGACAGAGCAGAGTGTGCACAAATGCTCAGCTGAGCGAAGAAATGGCAACTTTTTTATTTTCCTTCCAGAATAACCTTTTTTGCAGCTATTAAAAAAAAGAAACGTCAGCACTAACAGTCAAGCTATTTTAACATTATTGAACAAAAAAGTGTTGGCTGTGGTTTATATGGCATCATATGATACTGTTCTGTATGACACGTTACGAGGAGCAATATCACTTGATGACACACAAACCTTTGCCGCTGAGCTTGTCACCAGGTACTTCTATTTTCATACATTTTTGAGCTCACTTTGCATGATACAATAATCAGAGAATATATAGTTAAGATCATGATTAGATCACCATGTGCTCTCCACCATATAGTGGGGAAAGCTGTGAATCTGTGATATGCACAACTGTTCCCCCTTTATGGTTTTTTTTGCACATCCTCCACGATAAGAATTATCAGTTATAATAAATTTTTATAGTCCTTGCATATTGTTATAAGATGGTTTGATCACAAGTTGCACCTTAAAATGCAAGACAACTTGTTTCCAAGTTAGAGGCTTGAGCTCGCAGGAACTTGCCAGCACACAGAATGTGAAGTACTCAAGATTCATTTGCGACATCAAAACTTTTAGTATAACTGATATTCAATATTGCTCAATATAATCTCATTATGCCATGACGAATCTGGTTTTTAAAAACAATGTTGGCCCTGAACTACGCGTTTCAAGTAGAAGTTACACATGCATGACCCAAACTAAAGGCGGTCGAGATGAAAGTATGTGTGTTACTTTGCCATAAATTGTCCTGTTTTAATCAGTAAGTAATCTCTATAGCCTATAGACATGATCACAATATACCAAATGTTTTAAAGTGTCACCCATAAATTTTAGCAATTAACATTTTTTAAAGTTTAGAGTTCTTATTTCATGAATGCTCAGTTTACTCTAAATGCTTTTTATCTAAGCATACAGCACCGCCATCACTTGGTTCGTCGATGGCCTCTAGAATCATGGGGCTTGGTACAAACGCTCCTACCTTGACAGCAATTAACACCTAAAGAATGAAGAAAACTAAGCAGGTGTTGCCTCCCCACTTTTCTGGTGACACACAGTTCTTAGACATCAAACATTCCAGTATTTCCAGTGCCCGTATATATGAGATAACTATAACAAAAGAGTCCAACTAGAGCAAACATACATGTATAAAAGTACTCGATAATAGAAATGATACAAAAAATATAATTTTTTTTTTTTATTGATCCTTCATCACTATATTCGCTGTTAGTAAGATTGTTCTGCCTATTGGCATTTTATGGCAGTTGTAGAGAGGGTGTCCCAAGTTTCAGATTGGTATAAACTAACGACAATGAAGAGGCAGACCTTGTGGGTGGTGGCTGTCCAGGCAACTGGTGAAGACATGCCCAGAAGATCGTCAGCTGAATGGTGTAAACAGGACTCGAAGCTGCTGGCACCACTAATGGTGCTGCTACCTTGCCAGTCCCCAAAAAGTGGTGAACGAAGGGCTGCTGACAGAGGCTCCAGCAGGTTAGAATTGGAGCTGAGTGTCCCAGACTTCTTTTTCGGTGGCAGGGGAGGGGCCACTGTATCCAAGCTGGAACCACCAAGCTGGCTTCTGCATTCCGGTGGCACCCGCAGATAATCGGAACCTGTTTCTTTCACACTTAACCAAATGTTCTATGTTCCTGGGCCACATAGTATGCATGCCAGCTCCAATAAACCACAGTTAAAACATGCAGTGGTAATCAGCTTAGCATTAAATGACACAACAGGGAGGCTATCAGGCAAAGGACTACGTCAGTTCACCCTTTAATGCCTAGTGTCGTGAATTCACAACATACGAAAAAGTTCGAGGAAGCAAGTCATGGAATGCGTGCTGCCTTTTAATGCCAACTGTCAAGTACTCGCGGGGAACATAGCTTTCCGCATAAAAAATCTAGCACTGTCTTGCACGATGTATTTTATGGTAGAGCCAATTGTTTTGCAGCTGATGGTAGACAGTGCAAAGCACGTGCAAGAGCACTCATTTCTTCATTCTTTCTGTCTGACTGACGATTATATCTTCAATAATTTTGTTTATTTGGTATGTATGTTCTCAACACGTGGCACACAACATGTTGCCTAGTCTTGAAGTACGTTCTTGTTGCAAGGTTCTCGTTTCTGTGGCTTGTGGAGAATTCGCGACATACATAAAAGTATTCATTAAAGAGGAATTTAGGATAATTTAACTGTGGAATCGTTTAAAGATTGCTATTTAAAGCTGGAAAATGAAAAAAATATTTATTTTCTTTGGCAGTTTTATAATTCAGGCATTAAAGAGTTGATGGGTCACTTCTCATGCAACAAAATAGCTTCGAGCAATATGGTTATAAAATAACTTACAAATTAGACAATTCACCCCATAATCCTTTGTAGCTAGAAAGCCCCATAGAAGATGTGGCTATTGGCCAGCATTGTGCATGCCTCGCTAGCTTTTCTGACCTCACTACGGCCAATGATATCACTACCAATGCTTTACAATTTTTCAAAAAAAAAAAACAAACTAGTGGGCTAGTCAGTACTGCATATCTTAAGATATAGCATGAAAAGTGACACAAGATGAAAGAAGAATTGTGCAGTGTCCTTGTTTCTTTTGTCATCATATATTTTAAATGCTAAATGTAATGATCGTCAATGAGCCCTACTGAGCTTGCTTCATTCGAGATAGTTCATGGATTAATCAATGGTGCGTTCAGTTTCTCTTGGTTTGTACTTATAGATCCAGAGATTAGCAAATTCAGCTACATTATACTGTCTTATACCCCTGTGAAACTGAACGTTTAAATGTCATTTCAATAGGATGACATTTGCACCTAATGACAATATGCAGCTGCTACACAGAGCTATATAATATTGTAACGATGTTGAAAGACTCGGGGTGTAATAAAACGTATTTATTAAAGGGCGAACCTGTGCCCACAACTCAAAGGGACTATGGTCGTAGCACGTTACAGCAGAACACCAAGATGTCTCCTTCTTCTACTTCTTCAAGAAGAGTCCGAAGCGCGTGGCGCACATCAGCCGGTGCCAGCTGGGTTCTCGTGCTATCATCATCGTCTATGCGCAACACTAGGAGGCGCCCTGTGCGCGCGGTGATGGGCGCGTTGTTTGAATGCAGGCACTATGTCGCGGCATAATCCCCCTCCTCATACGCATCGTCCCGATGCGTCAGGCAATGAATAGATTAGTGGTAGGCATCACTGGTCTTTCGGTGATCTTTTATAGTAAGGCTTCATCCGGACTACATGTACAACCTCTGTAGGGTTGCGGCGTTTTGAGCTCCCGTGTATAGCGGATCTGACTTGGTAAGTTGCATCGCTTACACGATGGAGTACTTCGTAAGGCCCGAAGTAGCGGCTAAAAAGTTTTTCAGAAAGTCCACGGCGACGCACTGGGGTCCATATCCATACTTTGTCACCTGGTTGAAAATGCGCTTCGGTACGACGCTGATTGTACCGATAGGAGTCGACACGCTGTTGGCGGCGTATTCTGTATCTCGCCATCTGTCGTGCTTCCTCGGCTCTTTGCAGGAAGTCGTCTAGGCCAGGTGGATTGCTGCTTTCATCATTCAGTGGTAACATGGCATCCAGTGGAGTGGTGACTGTTCGGCCGAATACAAGTTCAAATGGTGTCACTCGCGTTGTTTTTTGAACGGCTGTATTATATGCGAACGTGATGTAGGGCAATATTTCATCCCACAGTTTATGTTCGACGTCGACATACATTGAAAGCATATCAGTCAGAGTTCTGTTCAGGCGCTCCGTTAGGCCATTTGTTTGAGGATGGTATGCTGTAGTTCTTCTCTGGTCTGTATGGGTCATTCGCATCAGATATTTCATTAGGTCTGCAGTAAAAGCTGGGCCACGATCTGTAATTACGACGCTGGGTGCACCATGCCTGAGGACTATGTTGTTTATGAAGAACTTGGCAAGTTCAAGAGCTGTTACACTGTACAGCGAGTCAGTCTCAGCGTAACAAGTGAGATAGTCCGTGGCTACGACTATCCACTTCTTGCGTGCAGTCGATGTCGGAAACGGGCCTAGGAGATCCATACCGACTTGTTGGAATGGGGCATGCGGTGGTTCTATTGGCTGGAGGAGGCCTGCAGGTTTCACGGATGTAGTTTTGCGTCTTTGACACTCACGGCAAGTTTTCACATAGCGCTGAACTGATAATAACAGTTTTGGCCAGTAGTATTTTAGGTGAATTCTGGCGAATGTACGGCTGACACCCATGTGTGCAGATGTTGGCTCATCATGACATGCGTGCAGAATCTCGCTTCGTAAAGGTGCAGGTACAATGAGTAAAAATTTGTCACCATGAGGTTTGAAGTTCCTCTTGTAAAGGACCCCTTCTCCAAGACAGGTCGAAGGGAGCCCTCTGGATAAAGTGCGCGAGACTTTAACGTTGAATCCTTGGAGACGCTGTATAAGCGGCAGCAAATCGGGGTCATTTTGTTGTTGTTGAGCGATTTCTGATGCCTGGACGACGCCTAGAAACGGGAAGTCTTCTTCCTCCGGCTCACTCGTCTCCACTGGTGCGTGTGACAGGCAGTCTGCATCACTGAGCTTTTTCCCAGATTTGTATACCACAGTAACATCGTACTCTTGTAGCCTAAGGCTCCATCTTGCTAGTCGGCCATAGGGATCCTTAAGATTCGCCAGCCAACACAGGCAATGGTGGTCACTGAATGCTCGGAATGGTCTACCGTAGAGGTACGGCCGAAATTTACTTATGGCCCAGATGACCACGAGACACTCTTTTTCGGTTGCAGAGTAATTTGTCTCAGCTTTCGAAAGCTTGCGGCTGGCATACGCTAGCACTTTTTCTTGGCCGTTTTGCCGTTGGACTAGAATGGCTCCAAGGCCGACGTTACTCGCATCAGTGTGAACTTCAGTTTCGGCAGTCTCATCGAAGTGGGCGAGGATCGGAGAGGCTTGCAGGCGTGTTCTTAACTCATCAAATGCTTCCTGTTGTTCACATTCCCACATAAAGGGCACCTCGTCTTTTGTAAGATTAGTAAGTGGTTCAGCAATGTTAGAATTTTCCACAAATCGCCGATAGTACGTGCATAAACCCAGGAAGCGACGTACTGACTTGTTGTCTTTGGGTGTCGGGAACTTCACGATGGCAGCTGTCTTTTCGGGATCTGGCCGAAATCATTAAAATCATTATTAGAATCATTAGAATCATTAGATATCATTAGAATCGAATGACTTAGGCTATCGAATGAGTTCAAGAAACATATTCCCGGTCGCAGTCGAACCGAATGTGTACTCTTGATCCCAGATATTACTAAAAAGATGGCATTCGGCATTCTCAATTTGACCTGCATTCATGGAAACCCACAAGTAATGTTGCTTTTCCAAGGAATTTCTCAATTTTACAAGGTCAGCTGTACATAAGGTTGTTGCAAAATGTTCTTACTCTCTACATCATTGGCATCTGGCCGCTTTCGGCCATAACCTAAACAAGCAGATGCCTCTGTGCTTCACTTTTTTACCACTCTACAGTTTCCTTCTTAAACTTCTCCGGTCACTTTTTTTTTTTCTGAATTATCGACATTGATATCATAACAGAATGACATTACTTTTTTCCTGTGTAACACTACCACAGATTGAATGACATCTATTGCACCGAATGACATTAACACTTCCAGTGTGACAGAGATATTAGTTCAGTGTTCTGCAGCTGCTGGAAGCTGAGAACCAGCTGTTAACTGCAAGAGCCAAAAGGATGGTGGTAGAATAACGCTGCACTAGGGAGGCCAATTTATGTTCCAGTGAGGAAGTGTCAAACGACTTTCCTAATTTTAATTTGGCTGCGTCTGTACTAGTATAGCCCCACTGGCACTTGGCAATATTTACCGTTTCTTTTGCTACTTCCAGGCATCATTTCAAGTTTGAAAATATATTGGCCAGGACAAAGATATAAACTCAATGTTCTGCCCCTACATCACACTACCGGTATATATACGCACGGTGCACTTGTAGTTACAGAAAGCCATATAGTAAACTCTTGTTATGTAGTGGAAATTCTGTCCTAGCCAAAAAGAATCGCTGCTAGTCTTTTAACGTGAGTTATAATGAATCCTTTACAAGTAATACAAAAGCACTGTATTTCACTCTGAACTCTATCCCACCTCAATTTCCAAATCAATTGAAGCATGCAGACGTGGTTTTTCAATCAATTCATATAATTTTTCTAAATTTCTAAGGTGTGTGAATTCGGCGTGACAATCCTGCTGCAAAGAGCCTTTGGAAAACATGGTAAAACATGTATTTGGGCTGATTGATACATCCTTACTCAGATATAAAAAAGACACGTACCATCGAAAATGCAGTCAAGACAGAACAATAAAGGGCACTTTTTTGGTTCATTTCTATTCAGAAAGAGGATGCCCTTTTCTGTTCTGTCTAGAATCCATCTGTAATAGTATCAGTCTTCTTTGTATCTCAGTGTGGAAAGCATTATGTAAAATGCTTAAAAATTTTGGCACAGTTAACTACATCTCTGGTGGTTGAAAACACCACACTTTTTTAAAAACATAACAATGCCTCATAACTGATTCCCTTT